AAAATGGGACTTTCCCCCTCTTTTCTTCTAATTCTTTTTCCTCAAACATCCACGGCGAGGATTCCCGGGCAGCAGCAGGAGGAGGAGGAGGAGGAGGAGGAGGAGGAGGAGCTGGATTAGCCCAGTTAACCCCGGCCCAGCGCCGCTCCCGGCCCTCGGCAGAGGGAATTAAGACCATTACAAGGCAATCAAACAGGATCAGAGCCCCCGGCCCTTTCTGCCGCCAGCCCAGACCTGCTAATCCTGTTTCACGCGGCTGCAGCAGCACCCACCCGTGGGCCAGCCCGGTCACAGGGACCCCCGCCCTGTCCCCACGGCCCCGGTGACCCCAGGGACAGGGACAGGTCTGCTCCTGCCCCGGGACGGGGGTTTGGGGACACCCAGAGCAGCTTTGGGGTGAGGACGACACTGGTGTCACTTGTTTATTGTGAAACAGCAGCATGGGGGGTGACGGCAGGGTGCAGAGACCCTCCAAAAACCCCCTCCAAAACCCCTCCGGCTCAGCTGGGAACACCCCGAAACCTCTGCTGGCCGCTCCCGGAGGTCCCCACCGTGTCCCCAGCTCGCCAGGAGCCGCTGCCCTCCAGGAAAAGGCAGCCCCGGAGTGTCCCCACGAGGGACAGGCACAGCGGTGACACAAAACCCGTCCTGGTGGCACCCCTGTGCCCGTGTGCGTCCTCAAAGTGGGACAAGCAGACAAGGCAGCAGCGAGGGACCGGCAGCACCCAGTCCCTCCCAGTCCCTCCCAGTCCCTCCCAGTCAGGACGCTGCCAGGTACTGGTGGAAGTAGAGGCCGAAGAGGCTGGTGACCACCTGGCAGGCGGCCACCCACCAGGTGAGGAAGGAGAAGAGTCCTCGGAAGAAGAGGGGGGTGAAGATGCAGCCCAGGACCCCCGAGATCTCCTGCACCACCACCTGCACGTCCCCGTCCGTGTCGCCCCCGGGGCGTGGTGGGGCCGCCGGCGCTGCCGGGGACACGGCGGGGGACTCGGGGTACAGCCCCCAGGAGTGGTGGCCTGCGGGACACGGGGGACAGCTCGGGGGGTCCGTGTGGGACAGCTCGGGGGTCCCTGTGGGGCAGGGGACAGGTCTGGGGGTCCCTGTGGGACAGCTCGGGGGTCTCTGTGGGGCAGGGGACAAGTCTGGGGGTCCCTGTGGGACAGCTCTGGGGGTCCATGTGGGACAGGGGACAGGTCTGGGGGTCCCTGTGGGACATGGGGGACAGGTCTGGGGGTGTCTGTGGGACACAGGGGACAGGTCTGGGGGTGTCTATGGGACAGCTCGGGGGTCTCTGTGGGACATGGGGGACAGCTCTGGGGGTCTCTGTGGGACACAGGGGACAGCTCTGGGGGTCCATGTGGGACAGGGGACAGGTCTGGGGGTGTCTGTGGGACAGGGGACAGGTCTGGGGGTGTCTGTGGGACAAGGGACAGCTCTGGGGGTCCCTGTGGGACACAGGGGACAGCTCTGGGGGTCTCTGTGGGGCAGGGGACAGCTCTGGGGGTCCCTGTGGGACACAGCACCGAGTTTGTCCCCACTGCAAAGCAGAACAGAACCACGGGACAGAACTGTGGGACAGCCCGAGCTGGGGGCTGTGACCGCTGGGGACAGTTGGGGTAGCAGTGACCTCCTGAGCTCCCCCAGGCCACCCCAAAGCCCCCAGACCCCTCCTCACCCAGCGTCTTGAGCAGCAGGGCGCAGTGCAGCGTGAGGATCACGGGCCCCAGGTACTGCAGGCTCACCACGGACACGTAGCAGTAAATCCTGGCGATCTGCGGGAGCTGGGAATGCTCAGCGGGAATTCCGGAGTTCTCAGTGGGAATGCCGGCAGCCACGCCCCAACCCCAACCCCAATCCCGATCCCGGTCCTGCTCCCAACCCCAGTGCTAATCCCGACCCCAGTCCTGACCCCAATCCCAGTCCCAGTCCTGGTCCCGGTCCCAGTCCCGTTCCCGTTCCCGGTCCCAATCCCCATCCCATCCCGGTGCCGGTCCCTGTCCCAGTCCCGTTCCCGCTCCCGTTCCCATCCCGTTCCCGGACCCGCTGCTGCAGGTCCCGGGCCCGGAGCCGGCCCTGTCCCGTTCCCATCCCGTTCCCATCCCGTTCCTGTCCCGTTCCCATCCCGTTCCCATCCCGGACCCGCTGCTGCAGGTCCCGGGCCCGGAGCCGGCCCTGTCCCGTTCCCATCCCGTTCCTGTCCCGTTCCCATCCCGTTCCCGTCCCGTTCCTGTCCCGGACCCGCTGCTGCAGGTCCCGGGCCCGGAGCCGGCCCTGTCCCGTTCCCATCCCGTTCCCATCCCGTTCCCATTCCCGTTCCCATCCCGTTCCCATCCCGTTCCCGTCCCGTTCCCGTCCCGGACCCGCTGCTGCAGGTCCCGGGCCCTGTCCCGTTCCCATTCCTGTTCCCATCCCGTTCCCATCCCGTTCCTGTCCCGTTCCCATCCCGTTCCTGTCCCGTTCCCATCCCGTTCCCATCCCGTTCCCGTCCCGGACCCGCTGCTGCAGGTCCCGGGCCCGGAGCCAGCCCTGTCCCGTTCCCGTTCCCGTCCCGTTCCCGTCCCGTTCCCGTCCCGGACCCGCTGCTGCAGGTCCCGGGCCCGGAGCCGGCCCTGTCCCGTTCCCATCCCATTCCCATCCCATTCCCATCCCGTTCCCATCCCGTTCCCATCCCGTTCCTGTCCCGTTCCCGTCCCGGACCCGCTGCTGCAGGTCCCGGGCCTGGAGCCGGCCCTGTCCCGTTCCCATCCCGTTCCCATCCTGTTCCCATCCCGTTCCCATCCCATTCCCATCCCGTTCCCATCCCGTTCCCATCCCGTTCCTGTCCCGTTCCCGTTCCCGGACCCGCTGCTGCAGGTCCCGGGCCTGGAGCCGGCCCTGTCCCGTTCCCATTCCTGTTCCCATCCCGTTCCCATCCCGTTCCTGTCCCGTCCCCATCCCGTTCCCATCCCGTTCCCGGACCCGCTGCTGCAGGTCCCGGGCCCGGAGCCGGCCCGCCTCCCGGCGCAGGCGGCGCGCCCAGCGCTGCGCCAGCCCCAGGTACGCCTGCAGGTGGAGGCGCGTCCCCAGCAGCCGCAGCAGCGACAGCCACACCACGGCCCAGAGCCGCAGCGTGTCGAAGGCAGAGTCCGAGAGCCTGCGGGGACAGGGACGGGACAGGGATGGGGATGGGGACAGGGATGGGACAGGGATGGGACAGGGATGGGACAGGGATGGGACAGGGATG